GTGGGTGTCCTTTAAATACATTTAACCTTTAAATTTAACCTACATTTAACATCTTCAGACTTGATCTTATTCAGAGCCTTCCATAGCTCACTATTGCAGCTGAAATGTCTCAGCCACCTGATTGCAAGAGATGCATGCAGGGACATGACTGGTACAGTCTGGACTCCTCTGTCACATTTGAGGCTGAGTCAGCATCAAATACCAATAGAAGTTGACTTAGACTTAGAGGAGGCAGCAAATGCCAGACCCAGAAGTAGACTGCAAGTGTGGAGCTGTGAGCTCCCAGACTATGCACAAACTGCCAAAACATTTCAAGGAGATTCCAGGGCCCAGAAGCAGAACTGGGGCATATGGGAACATCATTACAGTTGGCACCTGTGGTACTGAGTAGCACAGGGCACAGGTAGGAACAGGTAGTGTAATTGGGATATACACAGAGAAATTCTAAGGAATATTGTCTTAGAGCTGATTAGAGCAACAGTGACAAGGTGGGGGACAAAGTAAATTTTTAGAGGCTTTGTTGGGTTAAAATCCCAGCACATGTGTTGAAAAATCTTGCCCTAGGTCACACAGTTAATAAGTACAGATATTCCCAAGAAAAGAACTAATTTCCCCATGGCTCTGTACCAACTAAAAGACCACTCAAATAGCTCACAGTTGGCCTATCTCTCAACCTTAACTGTTTGTTCTGTATCTTCCTCTATTAGTATTTTACAACTTTTTACATAAATTCTTGGCTAATTGTATATATGTACCAAGTAATCCCCATGCCCCAGAGGCCAGGGGAGGTGAGAAATGGGAGATAATAAGAGAAAAGGTGGGAGCAGGTTGTAATTGTTCTCCTCAGCTGCCTCTTTCAAAGTGGAAAGGAAGTGTTCATGTCTGGACCTCCTCCTCCTCTATAAACCATAAATTCCTTGTTGATTCCTAACACCTGGATACCCAAAGTTTAGTTTAAGACCTTCCCTCTGAAGAATAATGTAGAGGCTGTCTCTAAAAGGCAGGGAAGTCATCTAAATGTCATTGAGGACTTGAGGGTGTCTTCGCTTCTGATGTCATCTGTGCCAAGTGAGGTAATAAGATCCATACTCAGGATTGCATGTAATTGTAAACCCAGAACATTGGAAGCATGTGTATTTCTCCAGGTTTCTCCCTTGCTTCAGAGACAACCAGCTTCACAAGAACACCTACCTGCCATCGATGCCTCCTCATGCTACACAATAGGAGATTATAACTTATCTGCATATATTAACCCATAGTCTGAAAAAGAGTTGAAATTTCATTCTGTTCAAAAATTTTGCTTGGGGACAGGGGATGTGGCTCTGTGGTAGAGCACTTTCCCAGCATGTGTGAAGCACTGGGTTCAACACTCAGAACCTTATAAAAAGACATTTAAGAAATAAAGATATTGTGTCTATCTACAACTGGAAAAAATTAAAAGTAAAAGCAGTCTTTAAAAAATTTCTTGGAGCACAACTGTTCTCCTGGTCCCCCTTCCCATTCCAACAGACTTCTCTCCCATGCAGCAGTGTTCAATAGGAGCAACAGTCTCCATTGTGAAGGGTGCACTCATTCTGATTAGGAAAACTCATAGAAGGCTGAGAATTATACTGACTGGATGCAGCCAACCTCAAAGCCCACAATATTAGATGGAGAAAATACTAGAAAAGGAAATTATTTAACAATCATAGTAAAAAATTGAGCATTTAAAAGAGTCTATTATCTACAAGAATCATCTATTTGAAAGATTGGTTTTATGTTTGAACACAAAGCCTAAGGTCTGGCCTATGGAAATTAAAACAAAATTTAAGTTACACTTTTTTCTATATACATTTTTCAAATCATCATTTCACATGCAAATCTATACAGAATATATTTTAAATGACAATTACAACTATTTTGGAAGCTTTTAGGCACTTTGTTGCAGACTTTTGTTTGTATGTATAATTTAATGTTTTTTTCAATTACTAAAGCAACTGTGGCTTTCACAAAGTTATTTTATGATGTAGAAATTTGTAGATGAACTTCAGAAAACATACTAAGAAAACCAAAAAGAGATGCTTATTTTTCAAGGTCAAATAAAGCTATGAAGCTAAGGAATTGGAAGAATGTAAAAGTTATAGCAAATTGTAACCTGGACAATGAGGTCCCTTCCTCATTAAGAAGCTTTAAAATTATGACATAATTTATGTAATTTTTTCTTTTTTGAAGATTTCCATTGAGTACAGTACCTTAATATCTAAGATTATTTCTAAGCTGTTTTAGGCCAGCACTTGGGCAAACCTTTGTGATGGGGGAGGGGATGACATTTACAATAGAATCATCCAAATAAAGACAAGAGATTTTGTTTCAAAGGATCAGCCTGGAAAGGCCCAGCACATACAAGATTACTAATGAATCTTAGTAATTCACTCAGCAAAAGTGAAGTGCAAAGCAACTCAGTGTGACCCTGTCTCTAAAACAAATACTAAATAGGGGTAGGGATATGGATCAATGGTTGAGTATCCAGAGTTCAATAGCTGGTACACACACACACACACACACACACACACACACACACACAAACAAAAAACAAAAATCCAATTTCTTTTCTGGTATATATTAGAGCAGAATGCATTTTGATTCATTGTACATAATTGCAGTACAACTTTTCATTTTTCTGGTTGTACATGATGTAGCATTGCACCATATGTTTGGTCATACATGAAACTAGGGTAATGATGTCCATCTCATTCCACCATCTTTCCTGCCTGCCTCAATGCCCCTTACTTTCCTTTACTCCCTTTTGCCAACCAAAGTTCCTCCATTTTTCTCATGCCCTCTCCCCATTATGGATCAGATCATCATCCACTTATCATAAAATATTCAGCTTTCTGTTTTTTGAGATTGACTTACTTAGCATGATATTTTCGAACTTCATCCATTTACCTGCAAATGCCATAATTTCATTCTCTCTCAAAGCTGAGTAATATCGAATTATGTGTATTACCACATATTTTTTATCCATTCATCAAGTGAAAGGCACCTAGGTTGGTTACACATTTTAGCAACTGAGAATTGAGCTGCTATACACACTGATTTGAGACACCTAAGGGCAAAGATATTTTATGATTTTTAGCTGATTTTATGTCTTACATTAGGCTGATTTTAAATGTTTTGTGTATAGACAGAGGAGTGGAATAACCAGGCAAATATTCTAATATTAAGTTAAAAAGTAGGAAGAAAATTATGTTCATATTATAACTAAATACACAGGTAAAGATATAAGTAGAGCAGTAATAAAAGGATATGCAAATAAGTCACTAAATACAGTAGGAACCGTGGCTTTTTTTTCTATCAATTCTGTTACTTCCATTAATATGAATTTGTTACTTGTCCAATTACGAAAATTGCAAAACAAATTGTTATAGACTGAATTCAAAAAGTATTTTGGCTTTCAACACTTACATTGTACACTGGCCAATATTATTTCCAAGTCTATTTGCACACACATGAAAATACACATGTACAAACACACAGAGTAGAATCATGAAATACAACCAGAAGAGACTGCTGAAAGAAGCAGAAATTATCTCCAAATAAACTCCCATACAGGAATTTGGAAAATAGCAAAAGATTAAACTCTCAGTTCAGACACTCACTATGCTTTTTCTACAGCCCAGAAGTACTTGGAACTGGTGCACAAAACTTAAACCCACAAGACAGGTTAAGTTAGGACTATTTTAATTAATTTAATGCTGGTAATTTCCATCCATCTGTAAGATCAGAGCAATAGGAATAATAGTGGGAATTTTGCAATGTCATAGAAGATTTGGATGTGTGTGTTTGTGTATTTATCTATCTATCTATCTATCTATCTATCTATCTATATCTATATCTATATCTATATCTATATCTATATCTATATATATATATATATATATATATATCCAAAAGTATATATTGACTTGATGTGGCTATTTTATGCAAAAAGTTCACCTAAATCAAGCAAAGCTCTGTCTTTCAGAAAATTGTTATGTGGCTATCATATTTAAAACTTGAGATTGACAAATGGATTTTTAAATATTTCATTAAATATCAGAAATAATTAAAATGAAGCAAAATAACTAGAACCTTTTTAATAAAACTCTTTCTCATTTATCATAAAAGTCTAGCTATGTTAATAAAATTTGTTTAAGTTATTTCATTATTAATGGTACTTTTTTTCTTTTAGTTAACAAACCTTTTTATTTGGCCAAGAAACTTTTCAAAAGTTACTTGTTAGGCCTGTGAATATTGTGAAAGTCAATGTTATTGAGCTGAAAATGGCATCACAGTAAAAGAAAGCCTTGTTTTTACCAAATGTAGGATTTGACATGGCCTCTAATAATAGGCTAAGCAACAAAATAATAAAGTGGAGTCTGCATAAATGTTGAAAAGTTAGTTTGAAAAGTTGTTAGCTCTATAGGTAATAACTTTATAATGTTAAATTAATTTATGTTCTTATATTAAAATTGATACTTGAATAGGCATTAATGAACTACAGTTGTAAAGATTGTAAGAGAAATGTAATATGAAATTCACAAGAGAAAAAACATAATTAGTAAACTAGCTATAAATTAAGAAATGTGATTTTATATAACTGATATTATATATATATATATATAT